TATTATAAACTTTTGATCAAATGTTACTTAAAAAGGGGTCACAATGGACCAGAATGCTTGATCTTCGACGCTTTATATTTCGAAAAGGTGGAATATTTTTATTATAAGCCATGTTAAACAAAAGATATTTTTCAAGATATTGTTATATAGTACAAATCGAAATTTTAATTGGTTTAATTCTAAAGTTTAATGAAAAAATATTATACATATTAAGCTACGTTTACACTATGTTCCCGGCAGCCACGGCAATCACGTTTCAGACCACCGTGGAAAAAACGGGACGGGCGTGAGAAAACTTGGGGCAACGGGATGGGCAAACGTAACTCATCGCGATTGCCGTGGATGCCGTGCCAGATTTTTAAACTGTCAAAAAATTTGCCACGGCGGCCACGTTGCAGATGTGAAACTTAGTAGGTCGTAGAAAAACGGAATAAACGCAACAAAACGCGACAGCACGTAATAGACCGTAACAGAACTTGGAGGCAGTCCGCAGTGGGACGGGAGAATGTACATTTCCATTCATCTCACGGTCCATTCACGTTTTGAGACGTTTTGCTGAGTTTAGTCCGCGTTCTGTCACGGCTAGTTCACGGTTGTTGTCCGTTTTATCACGTTCTGCCACGTTTCATCACGGTCCTCACGGCAAACTAGGGTGTATGGTAGCCGTTTCCTCGCGTTCAATCGCGGCTCGTCCCGGCATGTAACGGTTTATGGTCCCGGTGCGTTGCGTTCTACTACGGTCTGACACGGCGCACGCGGTCTGAGAGGAAGCATATAAAAGCCGGGCACTGCAGAGAAGTTTCATTATGGATCCATATGGATCTCCGCCTTCTCATCCGTCTTATTCGTCTCATTCCTGCCTTCCCTCTCTGTAACTGCTGCTGGTTCTCTTCATTTTGACGAAGTGATTTTAGGTATGCACCCAGCAAACACGCGAAAATAAAATCTTCGTCTTGGGAATTCATGATGTTTTATCTTCGAAGGGTCATGATACAATGATTGTTTCTGGTTAGGAGACCTTCTCTGGTACAAACGTGATCCATAGTTTCCCGGCGTCCATGTTTCATACGTAGAAAGACTTAACAGAACGCGAGAAACTTATAAGAACTTCATAAGAAAGCGAGAAACGAGAGGGGACCTATCAGAACGTAAGAGGCCTGAGGGGAACGTGCTGGCATACGTTGCAGAACCGTAGTGCGCCGTGGAGCCTCCGGCACTCCACGGCAACTTCTTCCTACGGCCCATCACGGATTCCGTAGAAGACCGTAGGAGACCGCAAAAGAACTTGTCAAGACTTGGATATAGAGGGGAAAATTACCAAAATCTCACGGCGCACTACGTTTCGGGCAAACGGGGCTGCCGTGGCTACCGGGAACATAGTGTAAACGTAGCATTACATTGTCTTTTTACGAATATCTCAGTCTAAAGCACATATCATCTTATCGAGATACTGGACGGATACTGCTCGCAACGAGATCTCATCTAATCAAATAACGCTGTTCTGACGTTAAACAACATGTGCAAAATTTGACACATTTTCTTTTATATATCTTAATTTATTAATATTTTGTTGTGAAGACATATGTAATAAAAGATGTGCAATATAATAGCATCTTTCATTTGATATCAAGAAAATGCGGTGAGCTCTTCAAATTATGGGCTAAGAAGGGCCAAAGGTTTTTCATCTTTGATTCTTTAATGATCAATATTTTGTAATACATTCCTGAGGCAAAGATATTTATCTTAACTATTTGCGACAAAATATTGTAAAATTTCGAAACATGTGCTACGTAATTAGGGGTCACACGGGTCCAGAATGCTAAATCTCTGACGCTTTTTAATCTGGTAAAGGGGGAATATTTAAATAATAATTATTGAACAAAGATGGTCAGATTATGCATACTTTTAATTTTTGTAAAGTGGCCCGGTTAAGGACTTGTAGGGGTGGCCCCTAAATATTTCCATTTAGCGTATCTCCACAACGAGAAGAAATCTCTGAATAGGTGTTGAACAAAATGCCTTTAAAATTACAAAATCTTACATTTTATATCAAGAAAAATTTAAGGGGCTGACCCCTCAAATTAGGGGCCCAGAGGGGTCAAAAGTCTTTCATCTTTAACTCTTAAATGATCAATATTTTATACATGTATTACATTAATGAATTAAAGATATTCATCTTAAACATATCAATGCCCTCGACATGAATACTCGGAAGTCTCTGGTTTTATCCTACATCTGTAACCCTAACTGAATGTAAATGTATCATATAAGATGCCTTACATTGTATTGAGGTAATTTTTGAGGAATAAATGACTGGTTAACGATACAGAAGTTCGACCAGAGACTTCTGAAATGATTTAATTGACAAGAATAGAGTCTTTTGAAGCAAACGATGTCATTTTAAAGTGGGTTAATGATTAATATATTAACAACATACAAACTTGAAGCGGGATTGCTGAAAATTGAGTGAGATACCTTGTGGTAAATATAAGCAGGGGGTACCCCGTATACGAAACAAGTGCCTGTGCTTCCCAATATGGGTACAATCCAATAATTCTCTTACCAAAGGCGACAATATTTATGTTACCGCATTTTATTTCAGTCTCCAAGTTAAGGAACTTGTAATTTTTTCTGCACTTCTTTCTTCCCGAACCGATTCTAAAAATAATTTGTTGGATGTACCCATCATTTTATCCGGAAATACTTTTTAAAAACATATAGAACAAAAGAAGTTTAGAATTCCAACATATTTCAAATGATATCTTGAAAAAAGGGCTGGTCCCTAAAATAAGGTATCTAATGGATCTAATGGGCCAGAAGTTTTTTCCTGATAATCTTTAAAAGTATTGAAAATTTGTTATACATCAAAGAAGCAAAGTAGTTCAAAAATACGTCTGATGACGTCACTTCCGGCCAAACCGGAAGTAGTCAGTCAGGAAATGCATATTTTAGTCGTGGTTGATACGTTTTGGGTAATATCTGTCACTGGAAGAAAAGAAAAATTAATTTTTTGTCCATCGACGTCGGATTTGGAGGATTTAAATAATTGGAGACTTCATTACTCGTTTTAAACTAAAAGTTACTTCCCGTCGAACATGATGGAAGACCTACTCGTTGCTTTGCAAGGTGCTTTGTTTTAGTTATTATTATTATTATTAAACATCTATAAAGCGCCCGGTATAATAAATCCTAAGGCACTGTACAAGCATAATACATAAGCCTAAAAAATTGCAGCAGTCATATTCGAAAAATGAAAGATAATAAATAAAATTTAAAGTGTCAAATATAAAAAAAAGTACTATATATATGTAGATGATGGCACCTGATCCGACCTCTGATGTTCCGGAGGTCCGTGTTTGCTCTGCTCCTATTTTTTAGTGTTTTATGGACTTCGATAGTGGATACTGTTCGTTATCTTTATATCCTTCTTCATGATAAAAGTTTAAAAGGCTGTATCCAAATATAATAAAAAGCTTCAACACATAATTTATAAATCATATGAAATCATATGCCTTAGAAGTTTTCACTTAATTTAAATCGATTAAAGAATTACTTGATCACTGTTTACTATTCAGAAATTTCTTGTTTGAGTTCTTCATGTCAAGTTTTTATTCCCACAATGTTTTGAACAGTAAAACAACGCCAAAATCCTTAAATATATATACAAATACTGTACACGCTAAATATAATACATTTACAGTATTTTTCTTCTTTAATATCGCTATATTATCGGAGAAATGGCAAATGATTTGTGGGATTATTTCAATAATAATGAGTATCATTGAGAATCTTCTTTAATTTTTTTTCAATTTATTAATTCAGTTTGAAGTATTTAATTATTCAGTTTGAAGTATTCATTTACATGTATTTATGTCTTTGTAAATTATTCCAAGTTTTTCTTCTTAGCATGAAACAAATATTTGTTAAGCTTTTACCCGAAGTTATTACAATCTCAAAAACATGTATTGAACGATGGCACCATCAAATAATCAGCAACAAGTCATTTAAATCGGCAATGGAAAGTTTTGGTTAAATTAACTACAAATAGGTTAGACTTGATACAATGCAAACTTGAACTACATTATCTAATTCATTGTACATTATTTTTATTATCTAAGAATGCCATAGTTTTTGTTAGCAGATTGGTAATGCAGAATAAATTGACAAGAAAAAAGATAATAGAGAAGGCACAAGAAAACAAGGGCATACAAATAACATGATCGTTAATATTGTTAGATATTAAATGCACAATCATTATATTTCAGTCTTCGTAATTTTTTGTGTGGGTAAATTCCTTGATCCTTCTTTTTATCAAAGAAATGAAAGAAGATGACAGCCACACTAAGATTTTCAATTGAAAAGAACCTAAAATTGGGAATCTAGCATCCAAATCTGAATATTACAAGATTCTCTCCATAGAGAATATTACATACTAAAATCCATATCATATGTCATATCAGCCCGAGTGGCCCCATATCAGCCCGAGGGCCGAAGACCCGAGGGCTGATATGGGGTCCGAGGGCTGATGTGACATATGATATGGATTTTAGTATGTAGTAATCTATTTATCACATATTTAAAATACTTCATATGCGAGTTCACATATGGTGGTTGAAGAATGTTTGTGTTTGTTGGAAACAGTTTTTATAAAATCTAATGAAGCCAATTTTAGGTAACTGAAAAAAAAATTGAGACCACAAATGTCATGAAAGAACTCTTTTATATGAACATTTAAATAAAATCAAGTAAATTAACTTTTAAGATTAATACAAACGTTATTTCCGGTTTCATATGCATTTTCGGCCCGTCGGTCCGATATGTGATATGGTTTTCGGACCGGTCCGTAATATGGGGTATTGTGACGTCACCCGTATCACACCGTGCAGAATCGGCATATTTACTACTAAGTATATGATAAAGGTGGATACTGAATATTTTATACAGTGTTTATCTCTATTTCCAGTTATTACCTTTGTTTTTTTTTTCTACATTTACACTAGATACCTATCCAATAACAGAATAACCACAATACAGGAGAATGCATTTAGTGACCGGTCATTTATAAAACATCTGTGAGTATAGAAGTTTTCACTAAATCGATTAAAGAATTATTTGATAACTGTTTAATATTCAGAAATTCCTTGTTTGACCTCTTCATGTTAAGTTTTCATTCCCACAATATTCTGAACAGTATCTTACAAACATAGATATGTTCATAAAATACTTAATCATTTTCAGAATTGATTTGATTTAAAATGTTACACACGTTGGAACACTTTGTAAATGTATTTCCTCGTTATTGGAATTCCTATTGAGAGATAAATACGTAGACAGAGGATAATTAAAAATCCTATATGCACATTAAAAGATTGCAAAATACTGTAAACGTATTGCATTTGACGGTGTATTCTTTTTATCGTTTTTTGGTGGAAAGACACTTCCGCTAATTCACGTACAACGCCAAAAATCTGAAATATTTTTACAAATATTGTACACGCTAAATATACTCAGTAATACATTTACAGTATTTTTCTTTTTTAATATCGCTGTATTATCGGAGAAATGACAAATGATTTGTGGGATTATTTCAATAATAATGAGTATCATTGAGAATCTTCTTTAATTTTTCTTTCAATTTATTAATTCATTTTGAAGTATTTAATTATTCAGTTTGAAGTATTCATTTACATGTATTTATGTCTTTGTAAATTATTCCAAGTTATTCTTAGCATAAAACAAATATTTGTTAATCTTTTACCTGAAGTTCTTACAATCTCAAAACATGCATTGAACGATGGCTCCATCAAATACAGATAACATGATCGTAAATATTGTTAGAAATTAAATCCACCATCATTATATTTCCGTCTTTGTCTTTGTAATTTTTTTGTGTGTAAATTCCTTGATCCTTCTTTTTATCAAAGAGATGAAAGAAGATGACAGCCACATAAAGATTTTCCACTGAAAAGAACCTGCGTTTTGTGATATTTCTAAAGCTTTTGATAGGATCTGGCATGAAGGAATTGAATTTAAACGAAATTGGAATATCAGATTAAATCTTAAATTGGGTTAAAAATTACTTAGTACACAGAAGGCAAAGGGTGATCCTTGATGGTTATACATCAACTCTTAGAACAACTAGTGCAGGTGTCCCCCAAAGATCTGTCCTAGGACCTTTCCCAGCAGGCATTTCAATGTTGATTCAACGTTGAATCAACGTTGAATCATGGCCAACGTTGAATTTTGGTTGCATATGAAAGATGAGGCAATGTTGAACATCAACGTTGTTTCAACTTCAATTTTTAACGTTGAATAAACGTTGAAATTCGGTTGAAGTTTTGGTTGATTTAAGGTTGATTTTTGAATGCAAATGAAAGTTGACACAACGTTGAAGCTTCAACGTTGTTTCAACGTCAAATATCAACAATGTAAAAAAGATGAATATTTGGTTGAAATAAGGTTGTCATTTGGTTGAAAATTTTCGGTTTTACAATCGTTGATATTTGGTTGAAATCACATTGAATTCATATTGCATTTTGCTTTTATAACCAAATACATTTCAAATTCTAGAATATGTTTCATGTGTTTTATTGAAGTTGTGAAATATGTAAATTGTAATCCAGTACTATGATTCTGAGAGAATTTATTTTAAATTTATTTTCTGTATTTTAAAGACAAACGCAAATTTGGATCCAATCACCGAATCTCAAAAACCACTGCGTGACAAAATTTATATTCCTATTGAAAAGGGGGGTCACAGTTATCACATCCAGGTTCCGCAAAGCTTGCGTCTGTCTTAAACTTACGGTATAAGTTCTACTAAGTGGCGGATCCATTGATTTGAATCACGCATACAGTTTAGTCCCACAATAGAAAGAAATGAACTGGTGAATCCATCCTATGAAGCAGAATCCTAAGAACAAAAGAGATAAAAACGTTAAAGTCATTTGTTTGATACAATTTTACACGTTATTTCAAACAATAAAAAAAATGAATGATCTGAAAGCAGATAAAAGAATATATTCCGGTACTTGAATGAAATGAAATGATGAAAAGAATTATATTTGACCCCATGTTTAAATTCGTAATAGTATGATTATGAATAATTATTACTTAAGAAAAATGTTTTAGTTACATATAGACATACATGTGTAAGTGTACTTACAAAATGTTGCATTCCTTTGTAATTGATCTGATGCAATCAAGGCTGACAAAATCAATTTCACCTTAAATCCACAAGTGACTAATGGAACCTTACAACGAACTACAATTTAATTGTATAATATATTATTATATTTTTTTATTTCATAACCAAATGAATATTAACAAAACAAATAATACACGAAACATTAGCTTAGGACATGTAGGATGTGCATTTTACACATATTTCAAACATACTTATAAAACAAGAATAAAACGATATACGAACACTAAAACCATAAATATGAAAAGGAAATAATACTTACAGTAATATGCAGAAGTTGATAACCCAGCCTTAATCCTTGTGTACGAGGGGTTATCAAAAAGTTCGTGGACTGGCGTCATAAAATTAAAACCGCTTTAGGCACATCAATGGATTTTGAAATATCTAGTTAGCATCATCTTTTCTATCTTAAGAATGAACAATAATTCATGAATTTTATTTATTTTCTTTTTATAAATTAGTAATGTTTTTGTAAGCAATGGTATGTCCAGGCGGCGCAACCTCGAACACGACGTTTTGCGAACTATGTATAATTGAGAAAAACTCTTTTGATATGATCATTTGAAATCCAAAATTCCCGTAAATTCAGGTATGTATCGGAACACAATTGTTCCATAAAATATGAAATTTTCACTTCACTCTGGAAGTTCTATGAAATTTTATCGTAAATTTTATACGGAATGTCCAAAAAATTGAGGCCTTGAAAATGACGTCAAAATGGAAGACGGGTTTCCTTTCCCAACATTTAATAAAGTTTTACCCCTGAAAAAAACTGTTATAGTACTAAGAAATGTTAAAACTGGCTACAGAGAAATAATATCATGTGATGTAGATATTTAACTCCCAAAAGCAAAATATGCCGGCACAATCAAGCGCGGATCTCTACCAATGTATAAATCGACTTGGAATATTATATTCATTGAAGGCCACTGTTTATGACATTGATAAGTCATATAAACAAGGCGGGTTTAAGTCCTTACTCAGCTTCAGGGCATCTCATCAAAAATGTGTAAGAGGTAGAAGAAGCGGACATTGAAGCGGACATTGAAAAACAAGAACATTATGGGACGTCATGAAAATAAACGACGACAGCGCCGGTGTAAAGACGAATAATGACCCCCATCGAATAATGACCGGGGGTCATTTTTCGACAGCGAAAAATGACCCCCGGTCATTATTCGACGTAGAAAAATTACCCTTTTGCCCGTAGAAAAAGTGTCACTTCCTTAAAAATTTGCAGAACCCACGTGAAGAAAAATGACCCCCGTAGAAAAATGACCCCCTGTAGATTAAAGCTAAAATTTTTAGGGGGGGGGGGGGGCAAAAAAAAATTAGATAAAGAAGCATATTGGCCAAAATGCTCACCTGAGCTTATTGGGAATAAACTGATGATATGTTGATCTCATAACATTATACAATTATGGCTATGTTTTAAGGTCAATGCAATGATTTAGAATCTAATGGAGTAAAAGATTTATCAAGCCTTAAGGGTTAGGTAAACATTGTTTTTTGATGGTGGAAATCATCGAACTGACAAAAAAATCAGCAGTATTATATGTCATTATATTCTCCGCTTGAAAAGCGGGAGGGTATATAGTGATCGGGATGTCCGTCCGTCCGTCTGTTACGCTTTGAGGTATCCATTTCTTATCCGCAAATCCTCATATATAAAAAGATGTGTTTGTGAAACAGCTATGCCCCTGTATGGCAACATAGCGAAGATTAAACTTTTCTTAAATCCAATTTGAATATATTGTTACCCAAATTAGGGTCTTCTCACAAGAAACACAACTGCAAAATAGGAAAGCCCTAGCTCCACTTGTTCAAAAGTAATGGCTAAGGATAAGTTTTTGATAGGTAGGTCAAACTCAAAGGTCAAAGTTGATGATTTCTTAAGAAAATGTTTAATGTAACAAGGATTACATATATGAAGTATGAATACCCTAGCCCTTACCGTTCAAAAGTTATGACCAAGGTAAAAAAAATCAAAAGTACGGAAATCTCCAAGGTCAAAACGTCAAAGTTTTTGTATCCAATGAAAAGTAATGCCAAAACACTACATATTTGAAGTATGAGAGTACTAGTATCTACCGTTTGAAAGTTATGGCCAAAGTAAAAATTTAGCATTTTTGTGTAAAATGGGTCAAACTCCAAGGTAAAGGTCAAAAGGTCAAATTCGGTGGTATCCAAAGTAAGGTCTTGTCACAAGGAATACACATATTAAATATGAAAGTCATAGCTCTAATAAATGAAAAGTTATGGTCAAGGTTAAGGTTTTTTGTGGACAAACCGCCAGATAGACAGACGGACATACAGACGGACATGATAAAACTATATACCCCCGAATCTTCGATTACGGGGACATAAAAAGAAATGGTCTTCAATTAACTTTTCATATTTTGATACATTATAAAGAAGACGTTACAAGAATGAAAATGTTTGTTCTGATTTTCAAATTAAATTCTCTGAAATATATACTCAGAACTGAGTAAAAGGGTGGAGTAAATCAAGAATTAAGGTAGAACCTATGTCGGAAAAGTCTTTGTCACAAGATTTTCAAACTTTTCAAAATGATAAATTAGTACTTGAAATATCATGATATGTTTCCTAGTTAATCTAGAACAGGCTGTGAAACTTGGTATGGTATAAACATACTACGACTTCACATTTTCAAATATTTTTAAGGGTACTTGTCATAAAGGGAATATGAAAAATCACAAAAATACTTCTTCAAACATCGTCGTTTATAAACTTTATTAACTGAATAATATTAAAAATATTTTATCAAGAATAATTTGTTTTTTATTGAATTAAGATAAAAGATAAGTCCACCATTAAAAAAAATAGTCAAAT